GCTTCTGCATCCTTTAACCCTGGATGAATTTCCTCCGGGACAATAAAGTTCATCTCATCTCATAATAAGCAGAGGAGTGTATCTAAAGCAACAGCAGCTAATCAAACCGTCCACATAACTAACAGCCGTGTTGATTTATGGTTTCTTCTCCGTTTAAAACTCCGTTCATGTGTGATGACGCTCTGCTGCTCCTGTCTTGATCAATCATGTCTCTACGTTGGGGATAATTAGTTAACGCAGCTTGTATGGATCCTGCTGCTGTCTGATGCTGCGGCTGTTTAATTAACTCACAGAAAAGTCTCCTGCAAACAGCTGGAAGCAACAAACTCAACTCCAGCTCCTGTTGACATTTAGTCAAACCCAGATTATGTTCATTATTGAGGAGCCTCATTAGTCCGACTTGTTCTAATCTGTCTTCATCACAGGAGAGTTGCATTGATAGTTTAGTTTGTAGTGTTTGTGAAATTGTAGGGTAAAATGAGTTTAAAAAGGGTATTTTGTGATTTTTTTTTGGCAGCAAATTGTGTCTTTTTCACCCTCTGAGATGGTTTTTGCTCCAACATTTTTTGCAGAGTTGTGGTAAAAGCCTTCCTCACACAAATGGCTCCTTTCTGTTAATGCAGCTCCACGCGGTTCAGACTCTGTGGAAAGTGATCCGTAGATGTTAAAAAGTCTGACCTAGTAAGGTTGCCATCACAACCTTTTACAGAAAAGTGAGCGGGGTGTTGAGATGCCGTCAGATTAACCTAAAGGAGTGCATTAGTGCTGTAGCGGCGCAGATATCTGCAGCACATTTGCGAGTGAGACCAGTTGATGTTTTCTGCCGTTGTTGTGCAAGCAGAGTGCTGGACGCTGCAACACACTTTGCATGAACAGCGGACGGACAATTGTGTGTAATAAATGGAGAATGCAGAGAAAGTATCAAGGCAGCACTTAAGTGCATTTCAGTGTGAGTTTAAGTAGCAAGGGAACGATGGGTTTCACTTTTTTTTTCAGTGAAGCAGATGTAACTCGAGAATTTAATTCTTAGTGACGGGAGAAAGATAACGAGGTGAAGTGAAGCAAGGACGGAAGGAAGTCTAGACAAAATTATAATGCTGGATGTGTTTGTCCTCGTATAGATTCATGTATAGTTTATGTAAGGAATGAATGCATATTTGACATATTTATGAAATTGCACAGGATGCACATTCCCACACAAAGCCAACGCATAAACACATGGAAATTGCTGTTTTGTCACAAACAGTAAAACTAGCTCTGCCTACAGCCCCACTTGAGAGAGGCTCTGTGACAAAATACAAGCATGGTGGCCAGACAGGGTTGGCTCATTGTCTCTTTGTACCTCCAGCTTTGATTCCTTCCCCTCCAAGGAAAACTGCCCAGTTTCTCTCCTATCTTTTAAATGTGGTGAGCACCAGGGGTGTTTGGATCGTCTCTGCTCTGTGCACGCAGAGTGCTCGTCGCTGCAGCTCACCTTGCGTGAACAGTGGTTGGACACTTGTGTATAATAAATGGAGAATGCAGAGAAAGTTTCAAGGCAGCACTTAAGTGCATTTCAGTGTGAGTTTAGGTAGCCAGGGAAAGATGGATTTCACTTTTTGAGTCGAGCAGATGTAACACGAGAATGTAATTCTTACTGACGGGAGAAAGACAATAAGAGGTGCAGCGAGGCAGTGGAGAACGTCTCGGTGAAGTTATAATGCCGGATGCGGTTGTCCTCTTATGGATTCAACTACTGTTTTGTTTAAGGTATAGGTGCACATATAAAATACCCTCGAAGTAGGACAAATTCCCGAACCTACTCAGTGCATAAACACATGTAAATTGCTGTTTGCTGCAAGCAATAGTTTACATGTGTTACAGCATCGATGGGCATCGAGTGCACTCTATTCCCTCCTGAGTTGTCTGGTTGTGGCTGGCAGGTCATTAAGAGGGTCACTGGAGAGCAGTGTTTCAAAAGACGAGGGTCCTGATGCCGTCAGCAAGCACTGGCCGACTAATTATCTTCTTTTTTTTGTGTGTGTGTGTGTATTGTTGCCTTTTTCTTGCCGACCAAATCTAACTTTCAGGTGGTGTGATCGTGTTTCCTGCTGTTCCCTCCCCATTGTGGAGAAGTGCTTAACATAAGATTTCTTTTTCTACCTTCCACTGATGCCTGTACAGCGTGCATAATCACATCTTTAGAGTGGAAAGATGAAACCTGGCTAAAAGCATTGGGGAGGTGGGGGGAGGAGAGAGAGGAAATTCGACAGGCAGCATGCAGGCGTATCATGATTTCTTGTCGGAGATTGCCTATTCATATCGTTGTGGGGGGAACGCAGGTACAGATGATACAGTGGTCTCAAGTATTAAGGCAGAAGGCTTTATTCACTGTGTACAGTATCGTCTGATTTCTGCTGAGTGACTTTAAAGAGTTATGATCATTCGGTCCTTTGAGAACCCAAGCTGGCATACGTTATTGATTCTGCATAAAATCTCTGTTTGGCAGATTTAGATCGTTCCGATGGCCCCCAACAGAATTCTGATGACTTGGGCTTTATGGATTTTAATGAGTCCATTGTGATCTAATGTCCTCATCCGCAGCTCATTTACACACACAAAGTTATCTCTTTGATCTTCTTTTTGAGGTAGTTCTTTTATGAAAGAATTATGGGTTTTTTTTATCCGGGTGTCAAAGCCGCTGCATGGAACTCGACAGACTTTTTAAGACGTGAAGAGCAAATACTTTCTTTCGGATTAGGATGTGTGTCTCCCTGACAGGTGGTGGTAATGCTACACATTGTTAGGTTCAAATCCCTTCCCTAGGAAACTGACTCGCGGTTGGTCTCTGTGTGCTTTTTTTTTTTTTTCTGTCTGTGTCTGCCCTTCCCTCTGACTTTGTTGCTCTCATCTGTATCTCAGTGTCTGCTTGGGGAAGAGCAGTAAATGAAGGCAAATGCCTTGAAGTTTCACTGCATTTACCATTCTCGCTGGCTCGCTGTGACACTTTTACTGCACTTTCACAGAGCCGGCTTTGGTTTGCTTCTTCCTCTTAAAACCCCAAGCACCATCTGTTGTCATTAGTGTCCAGCATCCATGATATAGCAGGACTGCCATCTCTGTCTGCCTCTCCCCTGTGATCCATGTCACCCAGGGCCTACTGCTCTTTGAGGAAAAACCATATGTGCAGATTTAAATACCGGCAACTTTCAAGGTATACGATGACACCATGTGAGGAAGGGGGTTGATTTTTTTCTCTATTCTGCAGTGTATTTAAAAAGAGGAAATAGTTAGAAAATATATTTTTCCTCCAATTGAAGATTTTTTTTCCCCCCCATTGCTTTGCCTCTTATCCTCCCACACCTCAAACATGCCCCAGAGAATGTATTTGGACATTAATGCAAATGTCCTCAAAGACTGGATTGGACATTTTCCATCAAGCAAATCTGTCTTTTCCCCTCTAAAGAGGATTATAATCGTAGTTACTAGAGCTAGTTGTCAACTCATAAATTAATCGTCTACTGTTTTGATAATTGATTAATCAGTTTGAGTTCTTAAGGAGGAAAAAAAAAGCCTAAATCCTTTGATTCCAGCTTCTTAAATGTGAATATCTTCTGGTTTATTTCCTTCTCTATGACAATAAATTGAATTTCTTCAAATTGGGGACAAAAAAAAAACATTCATCTTAGGCTTTGGGAAACATTGACGGATATTTCCTGACATTTTGTGTGGAGCAAACTGCGAAAAAGAAGAAGGCAGGTGCTGTTAAAGCTGTGCATTTACTTTTAAGATGTATAATAAAGTAATTGCTGATAACAGGAATATAGATACCACCAGGGTACACATCACCAAAAAAGCTATGATTCTTTAGTACCAATTTCAAACATAGCACGGTCAAATAAACATATTTCCAAATAAAATGACTACTGTGTTCTAAAACTCACTTCTCCAGTTTCCTTTTAAGGACTTTCTTGTGAGATTTTGTCACATTTTCTTATAAATATCTCCACACAAAGCTTTTGAGGCTTTTTTTCCTCCACAAGTTGCAGCAGACATGTTGCAGCTTCACCTACAGTGCTGAAGCCATGCTGAACAAAAATCCCAATCTCCAATATCCTATCTGTGACAGCTGTGGGTCTTGTGGTCAATTTGTTAGCATAAAGAATAAGTACGTAAACAGGAATCAGCTGACTAAACAACACGTCATCTTTACTGTCTCATCATTTTTGTGAATGTTTTGTTCTTGGTTTGAATTAACAATGTTTCCTCATTTTTCTTTTTTCTGTCTCCATCACAGATCATATAAAGCGAAAGATTCGCCGGCGGCCATCTTGGGGGCGGGGCATCATACGCAAGAAGAAGATCTACAAGAAAGGAACAGAGGAGGAAGAGGAGGAGCCTGAGGCAGAGGTGGAAGCTGCAGGGCCCAGTGACTCGTGCTTGACACAGGATGAGGAATCATCTTGTGATACCAGCGGTCCTCAGCCCAACGGCCACCATCCCCACCTCCCCTCCACGGAGGAGGAGAGCTCCAACGAGCCCCCTGTCGCGGCTCCCGCTGCACCTCCAAATGCCAGCGAAGCCAGAGAGGAGCCAACACCTAAGGAGGAGGAGTCCACAGCCAAAGAGGCAGAGAACACAGAGAAACACACTGAGCCACATTGCCTTGGTGGCGGTTCTCAGCCCAGTGCAGACGGGCACAGTCAGGCCAAACAGGCTGACTTCCAGCCTTTGATTGAAACGTCCGAGTCTTCAGATGCTGAGGTCCAGCCTAAGCACACAGAGGGTCTCCTGGTTTCACAAGTGGACTGTGTGAATGGGAATGAGTCAATGGACAGCCTGGACTCGGAGAGCCTCAAGAAGAGCAGTGAGGCTGAGACAAGGACTCCTCAGAGCGCGGCTGAGGGCTCTAATAGGCCAGAACAGGAAGAGCACAAAGACAAAAATGAGAACAAACCAACTCAGGAGCACCATCCCCAGGATGGGAGGACGGAGACTGTTGAGGAAGCTCAAGATAAAGAAGGTACAGGATTAGATTTCAGAGGTTTTTCTTGCTCTTCTCGTGTGTTTTAATGCGTTTAGCAATCCCTAAAAATGCAAATGTACTCTATAATGTCTCCCAGCTGTATGAACTGCATCTGTACGGAGCTTTTAGAGCCAGAACGGAAAGGTGCAAAGTTATACTCCTTCTGGTCTTTTAATTTCACTTCCCAACTTTTCATTCCCAACTGTACTTATACAAAATTAACAAAATCTGTTAATTTATACACATCTTTCCAAGTATTGCCCAGCAGCTAATTATAAAGATAAATTACTTCATTTTTTTTTATTATCATCCAGGTCTTCTGATTTATACTTGGTTTCATTTTTTAAAATAAGACAGAAGACATGAATAATGCAACATCAGTCCATTAGAATATAAAAATACTATCTCTGGCTGAGCAGTTGATAACACTTCATACAGAACCTCCAAGGGTTTGCATGTTATGTGTACCTTTTGTAGACAAAACGCCTTTTGAGATGCATCCTAAGATGTTTTCAGACTAGAGAAGATTTTCAATAGTGGCTGACTTTTTCCCTCCACCTCTGACTCCGGCATATATTTAGTTTCTTTGCCCGCGAGCCATTATGCCCTTTCTACTGAGGAGTTAGTGTTTGAGTCAGAGATAAGCAGTAAGTTTATGTGTCTGACTACGAGCCTGTGGTTTGGCTTGTGATGAGCAGAGGCCAGCTGGAAGGCTGAGGTAGTGGTGCTGATAAAATATGGAGAAGCCATCAGAGGCTGCCGTGATCACACAACGGAACACAAACAAACTGTGGCTCCTTAACCAACAGACAACTCGGCTACTCCGCCCCCGCTCTCATTACAGCCTGAGCCGGGCCTTTTGTTTCCATCAAAGCGCTTCTTGAAGACTCTTATAAATGGGCAGGAAAGAGGCCAGATGTGAAATTTCGTGCACTCGCTGGCTGCGAGTCGCTTCAAATAGATTTTCTTCTCGTACGGTAGTATCGCATTAATCTTGGAGCCGTGACAGTTTGAATGTATTTTCTTTTCGGTCTTGTGAGAGTGAGTGAAATTGGGACTCAAATTTAACTGAGCTGCTGAGGAATATTTTCGGCTGTTATCACGCTGTTTAACCGTTTTCGTATCTCTCTCTTTGCCGGTTTTCCCTTCCGTCAATCGTGCATTTGTCTCGTTCTAGATGGTTCCAAAGCGAGGAAGTGCAGGTGGAGCTCGTCGGAGCAGTTGAGGGGATCAACTGAACGGACGGAGGAAGAGCTGCCCCCGGTCCCTCCCCATCCTCCAGTAGTGGTTGACCACCAGCGACTTTTGGTAAACATTTTATTTGTTGTTTCAACCATAAGTGTTATACTGATAATGCGGTTCTGGGGGCAGAGAACCTTTACCGTGAGCCCTAAAACGTGACCACAAATACATATTCTGAGTATTATTGCAACAATACACATTTGCATATGATCAATGAGTAATCCTATTATTTCTCCACCCTATTAGTCGTTTTTTTTTTTTTTTTTTTTGTAGAAGACATTTTGACATATCGCTGCAGGAAAAGCTGAAGTGTAAATAATTAACTTAATGACGCCTGAATTCTCTCTGTCGTGGGCTCGCTGGAACGTTTGAACATGACAGAGCCGCTGTTAATGGAATTAGCAACACCTGAACTTTTCTTACCACCGTGAAGTGACTGTAAGAATTAATTAGCCAAATTACCCAGTGTGCCCTTAAAGTTGGGAAGAGATCATCTATTTAAGTGATTTTTGTATTTTTTTTTGCATTGCATGAAAAGCAGGAACAATCCAGAGGTGTGTTGTGTTGACACTGAATTGATTAGAACATAATAGGAAACCCTTTACTGTCACTGTATTGTGCAAAATACAACAACATGAAGTGCTCTACTCCTGAATGGATCTTTAAAACTCATACGCAACACACGCTGTAGCTAGTATTGGATGCATTTATGATGTTGCTGTCTTTTAAACCCATTTTCTAGTGGGACTACTATCGATTTTAGTGGTATGTGTGCGTGTAAACATACTTTTTTGTATTTTTTCTTGGCTCAGAATGGGTGTTCGGGGTGTGACGCGCGACAGGAAGCATGTTGAGAACAGGCGATGAGTCCGTCATACGTTATCTGACAGAAATCTGTGCATATCCCAGTTATTTCTTTAATTTTTTTATTTTCATTTTTTTATTCTTACTCATTTCTGTGTTGTCAAGTTTCCTTTGGCACCGGCTCAAATCTTGTTGAAGGCTGCCAATGTATACGGCAACATATACGCCACAACTAGGATATATTTACAATCGTTTTTGATCATTTATTCAGAGTAAAGTCTTGAATTTCAAGTGGCAGGACAGTGGAGACAGGTGTTTACTACTTGAAGTCGATTCCTTACATCTAAAAATTGGATTAATGGCAACTTGAATACAAATCACTTTAAAACGTTTGTTGTTTTTAAACCTATAAATGCTCTCTGGTAGCTTTGTTGAGCCCAGCCAATATGTTGGATGGCCCATTTTACAACAATATTGATGATATATTTTTTACAGAACATAATGCAGACGTGGGAGGTGATTCAGAAAAGGTGCCATGACACATCGTTGTTTTCAATACTCTTAGCACTGGCTGCAGCACATGTAGCAGAGTATGTATCACAGTGGAGCAGGTGGTGGTGTGGAGTCGCCGTTTTCTATATAACTATGCACACATAAAGAATATTGGCTGCTATATCAGCATCTGAATGTTTTAATCCCAACATTGGCATCAGCATCAGTGCCATATTCCTGTGTGTCAGTCAGGCTCCATAGCCTTGTTTCGTTAGTTAAAAATGTAATTAAAAATACAACAACAACAACAACAAAAAAAAAAATCTCCTTGAAAGTTTAAAGACGCCGGCTTCGAGGATGGTATTCACTGATGCTCAAACAATCGATTGAGAAAAGCCCCGAAGACACATTTTCCACCCCTCTGTCAAACCACCCAGGCTGTAGCTTCTTAAAACCCCGGTCCATGCCCCACCACCATCTTGCTTGATTTTCCACAGCCATCATTCTAATTCAGACCATGAAGGATGTAGCAGCTGGGGTGATTTAGCGCCGTGCACTGCCGCGGATTGGAGATTTAACAGGTAGTGTGATCTGTATCAAAGCGATGATCTGGTAACGCAACGGTGAACGTTGGCGAGGAGGGGGGGAAAAAAAAACGGGTAGTCGCACAAAATGTCCGCGGTCATTTCGTGTGATCTCGTTCGCCCGATGCACTCGAGCAGTTAGGAAACCGGTGTTGATGCGTAACGGCACTTAAAGAACGTGGCGGCGCGCTCCGAAAATAATTGAACAAATTAAATAATTCAGCAACATGAATTATGTAGCGGACAATCTTGGAGAGAAAATAAAGAAGATGCATTGTCGCTTGTCGTTAGTACATATTCACTTTTATATTCTGCTAAGCTAAAAAAAAACAACAACAAAAGGCTGTAAAATAAGGGTAGATGTTTTCCAGTAAATACAAACAGCCCCACATCCCACCAGTAAATAAGAAAGTGTTGAAATATGGACTTATTAGCAGCAACAGAGCCAGCTGTGGCAAACTGTCACGTTTTAGAACTGGCTAATTAGACTGTGATTATGGAACAGAGGAGCTATAATCTAAAAATGTGGCCAATATGCTTTTGTTTTTGTCTTATTTAAGTTCATTTGGGCGCTTGCTGTTGCAATAATGTTGTTGACAATGTGGGTGAAGGGCTTTTTTTATCATCTTCTCCTCCCCTCTACAAAAGAAACAGCTGCGGTTCATTGCTGTACTCTTAATTGGTCACTTATTGCGTCCTTTGAAATGTTAAATCACCTTTTGTGTACAGACTTTAATATGCAAAAGAAGCAGGATGAACGAGCCGCAGTCAGGCCGGTGTTGGAGACGACGCTGGCAGTCGTACTCGGCTCGGGGCAGCTTGCTAACCATTCATGGTGGTTTTAGTGAGCCAGCACACCCGTCAGCTAGACCGTCCTCTGGCTGGCGTACCATGTCAGAGAGAGCTGGAAATGCCAGATCACAGGTGCTGTGTGGGGCTCGTCTCAGTGGACCTCTGCACTTGTAGTCACTCATTCTTTTATCTTTGCATAGCTTCTTAACCCTTTCAACACTATAGCCCGCTATACCGGTCTGCGGCTTTCACCCTGTCAACCCTCCGGTATGTGGCGACTTCCTGTTACGTTCATTTTGATTGTCCATCAGTGGGAATCCCCGTATGTGAACAAGCGATTCAGTCATGAAATAAATTATGCAGATAGTAATAATAATAATAATAATACCAATAAATCCATACAGGGTTCTCGCCAGCGTCATAACAGAGTAACGACCCGTTACGTGGCTGCCTGAAAAAATTTCGCTGCAAATTGGGCCGCTACATTGTTTTCGGGGGTAATATTTACCGACAAGCGGCGACAGAGTTTCACTAGCGTTGTCTTCGCTGCTAACGCTGCCATTTGCTAGCGTAATCGCCGCTACCAACTCTTACCTTACGCTGGAAAGGAATCCTGGCGAGGACCCTGGCATAGAGGCATATATTCCTAGTAATTAAAGCCAAAGTGTTGAAAGGGTTAACAAAGCAGGACTCCAGATGAAGTTTTTCACCAACTTTCTTGCACTGATTTCGTCACACACCCCATGTTTTGGAGTCAGCATGGCGATCAGTTATCTTTGCACACCTCGGTTTTGCATTGATGTAAAGATTGACTTGAGATTTCCATCCATCCATTCATTTTCTTCCACCTGTCTGACATTGGATCATGGCCTAAGCATTTCAGACACCCCTCTTCCCAGTAATGTTTCCCAGTTCCTAGGTCACATGAGGTATGTAATCCCTCCAGCGTGTTCTGGATTTACCCCAAGGTGTCCTCCAAATTGCCTGGAGAACCTCCAGGAGAAGGAGCAAAATATTTTAACCTGAAAATATGCTCATTTTATCACCACTCCTATAAACTGGGCTAAACTCCAGACCTGCTGAACATCTGCTTATAGGTAGACACTGCATTTTACAGATGTTCCCTAAATACCTCGGTGCAGGTTGTGGTGGATGCTAGCTTGGTGGCTGTGCACAGAGAGGCCTCTAGTCTCCACTCAGTTACTGCAGCACCTCAACTTTGATCAAAAATTACTTCGAAAACATGATTAGGAAAAATGTCACATTCTGACTTTATGTTTACGTCGAGGAGTGCAGAATTTTTCTTTGTTTTTGATGCAATCTGTTGCAAAAGATTTGTTTTTTGGCAATAAATAAAATGATTTGGATTTTTAAAAATTACAATATTTTAGGATTTTCAGAGGAAACCAAAAGTAACAAAATAAATATGATAAATTCAAGAACTGTCAGACAATTTAAAATCCAATTTTTCTGTCTGTTTTCGCCGTCTCTGGATCTGATAAATGTTGTAATTTTTTGTTGATTTAAAAGAAAAAAAAAGAAAAAGAAAACATGCCTTTCAAGCCTGCTGGTGGGTTTGATGTTTGGAGCGTTAAACATCGCCATTGCAATCAATTAATTTTCATTTAATTACGGGAAGCTGAAATCGTGACCGTGATTATTATATGTTTGTTTTGCAGCCCTAATTCTGTGATAACCGTCGTGATTGAAGTTTTTTCGTCTTCGCTGGCTTCATCTTTTTGTAACACAGATGAATCGTTTCATGCATCATGTAGGGAGACGCTGACTCAACCCATGAAAATGAAAGAATACTTCTTCCAATCAGAGTTAGGGCTACCTGCTTAAAAACAACCTAATCATTCACTCGATTTTGGTTACCCTGAAATGGTTAAATAAGCATTTGGAAAGTTGGAAATCTGCCATTTTTTCGCCAGGGCCTAGATGTCAGGCGGTACACAACTTTTTGTGGAGTGAGATTTAAGGTATGGAAGATGGGGAAATGCAATCATGGGTGACGAGCGTTAAGCTTCCTCCAGATCCATAGGTCTGTTCTGGAGCTGATGCTGTCACACTGCCCTTCTCAGATGGATGACTCTCAACTTCTTAAGCTTATCCCTCCTTTCCATTCATATTACAGTCCTGCCGCCGTCTCTCGTCCCCTTTTCCATCTTTATTTTTTTTTTGGTATCCCCGCTTTTGGAACTTAGGAGGAACCCAATTACGTGGCACCAGACTATTTTTCACGTCTCTCAATCAACAGGTGTTGTTCCTGCTCCGAAATTGGAGGAAACAAGGCCATGACTCAAACATGAGCTGCTCTCTGCCCCACTAGATCCGCCAAACTCGTCCCAGGATGTGTTCAAGTCACGGGGAGCATGTGAAGCGGCTTCGTGG